CGATTTAGCACATTTCCTTCAGTGCAATCCCTGATTTTATGTTTAACTTTAACTTTATTTCCGTCCATTTCTTCAACTTGTTTTCATTCACGAATTATTAGACTGCTTTTCTTTATCAGATTCGTTTATTTGTTTCAATCATGCCATTCGTTTGCCTGGATAAGACAAAATAATAATTTATTCATTCATTTTTACTAGGGAAGATATTTTCGGAAGCACTGGCAAAACTTTATTGAAGCACTTGCAAAATGATGAATTAAAATCTTTTGTGAGCATTCAGCCAGCCGTATCTGCCAATTGCAAGCATTCGCAGCAGTAGTGAAATTGCGATCAGTGATTATTAGTAATGTGGATCTATGAAATAAGGAGTATGCAAGGGCAGTCATAATTTTGCTATTCGTCGCAAATATGTATTAAATTCGATTGAAAGTTTAAGGTGAACGTGCACGACGTTATACGAAGACCACCATCCCAAGAGGACGTACACATCGAAGAACAAGCACCGCCGTCAGTTAGGACAACGCCATCAAGGGGAACGTATCCTGAGATGACCACTGCACACACTCCTCCCCCGTCGATATTTGAAGGGGAACAGCGACATGCCACAATCGATACTTTGCTCAAACCCGGTATTCTTGCTGGTATGTTTTATGTTCATGTTTTTTTTTCTATGTTCCGGCATTTGCAGACTGCGTTTGTTGTTTCGTCTTTCATGCATTTTATATTCTCAAAGAACGTTTGCTTAACAACTTCGCATCATCAATTCCATTTTTTATATTATCAGTTTGAATACATGATGCTCACTTTATTGATCATGAGTTCTTCATTTGCACACTCCATGAAATTCGCGACTAATTGCTGTACAGCGGGCAGTGTTTTGTTGAATTGTATGGATTTGATAAGTGCTTGAAATCGATCTGAAAAAACGATGCCAGTGAAAGAATTATGCATTTGGTATTCTACTATTTATGTATGGTCGAGATGCTAGTGTTGTAGAGTGCGT